GGGGCTGGGAGCCTCCTCCTGAAGGGGGCAGAGGGGTCTGGGGGGTGGGTGTCCCGCAGCACCCAGCACACACCAGGTGCTTGGAACAGTGTTCCACACGCAGTCAGCGCTTCATGCCTGTTAGCTTCCATTTTTACTAGGAAGCCCGGGACGGCAAGGCACTGAGGAGGAGGAGTGGGCCTTTGAGGACTGGGGCATTTCTTTCATGAGGGGAACTGTGAGCTGGCTGTCCTCAGCAAGGCCTGCACTGTTCTCCTGAGGTAAAGACAGAGCCCGGGGCAGAGCAAGCCCCCCACCTGTGAAAGCTCAGTGAGAAAGCTGGGAAGGGAGGGGCGTCCTTTGTGCAGCACGGTCCCTTGTTCAGTCTGGTTCTGCAGAAGGTGACCCACTTAAGCAAAAGCATCACACACTGTGAAAAGCCAGAGCCCGAATCCTCCCCAAACCTCCCCACCCCCATGCGTTAGGAGAGCCCAGAGCCAAGCCCAGCAGGGGCTCCCCATGATAGCAGGGCCCTCTCAGACCCCAGCACTCCTCCCTCCCCTGCCCTGTCACCCCAGCTCCTGTGAACAGGCCTTCTCCAGAGTCCAAGGTTAGACCGACTTGGGGCAGGAAGATGGGCATGGGAGGTGGTGTGTGATTGGGCAGTGCTTCACAACAGTCCCCCACTCTTCCATCACCCTACAAAGCCACCCTCTCCACCCCAGCAGCAGGACCTTCTTTCCTGGACGCTGTCACCTGGCCAGGCATTTCCCCAGGTACGATTCACACCCCAAGGTGTGATTTAAAATACAGGCGTACCACGTGGGGATGGCTTTTCACATAATGAATTCGAGTTCTGATCATCCCAGAATAGTAATCCTGGTTAGGAGGGGAACTGCCTAAGGCTTCCTGAAACCTCCCCATCTTTCTGCATCTCTGGGAATAGCCCAGGTCAGTCTTTCATTGCCATTCCGCAGACAACAAAACACGGAGACCTGAGGGTGCACTAAAACAGCTGAGACCTGGGCCTGGGATTCCAGAGCTGACACGTCTCCTGTGTGACAAAGAAAGCAAAGGCGACAACGCGATTGATAAGCGGGTGCGCAGACAAGCCAATCTGAGAGCACAAAAGCTCCTCCTCCGATGAAGCGCCCTCTCCCAGTTCAACCTGCCTCCTGGTTGCCATGGTTACCCCTTCCATTTCCAGGCAGAAACTTTTTGAAGTTCTCGCTGTATCCCCCATCCCCTTCCCAGCAGGTCCGCTGGTCGCTGTAATTTCAGGAATACAGGATGACTGCACCGGTGCTGGAAACCCAGCTGGTTAGCTCACTCCCCTGAGAAGCGCCCTGGCTGGGCCGGTGGCTAGGCTACGTGCTGGTTCATTTTTGTTCTGTTTTTGTCCCAGGCGTCCAGCACAGCTGCGGTCTCTTTCATGGAGGAAGTGGGGGCATACCTCGGGGCCTGCGTCATCTGAGGTCACCTGATTTGGGTAAAGTTGGAGTCATGATTAAACATCACACCCATCTCTGACCCCCAGCGCCGCACCACCCAACCCGCCCACCCGGCCTAAAGTCCAGTCGAGATCTTTGTCTGCGGAAAATGGCTCCAGGAAGTGAGCCATTTCTCGATACCGGATTCTGCGCAGATGCCTCCCGTGGTGGGCTAGATCCTCCAGCCAAGCCAAACTCCCTGCCATCGTGTCAGTTCTGACTCTGCTACCCTCGGGGTGGGCCAGACCTGCCCCGGGAACTTTCCGAGCCTGGAACTCCTTATGGGAGTAGAAAGCCTCTTTTTTTCCCCCTGCTGGTGGTTTTGAAATTGCTGACCATGTGGTTCGCAGCCCAACGGGTTGACTGACCCCACGCCGCCGCCACCACCAGGGTACCTCAGATCTTCCAAACTCCATGACGAATCCACCACTAGCTAGGGGCTAAGCGTGTACTCTGTCCGCTGAGGGGCGTCATCTACCTGAGGAAATAGATTTGACATGGGGGGGGACGACAAGAAAGGAACTGATCATCTGGAGCTACCACAGATGTCTAGAGAAGGGGGAGATCAGAGAGGGTGGTCAGTGTTTTGAAAAAGCAAAGAAACAAGCAAGTGGGGGGCGGGCATTATGTGGATGGACCTGGGAGGTGGGGGAGCATGCTGGCAATGGGAGGGACCAGTGGGAAACCCTGTGCATGAATAGGTGCAGTGGTGTTCACTTGGGGCAGACAGACTCAAGAGTTCCGATGGAGACTCCTTAGATGCCACTATTCCTGGCATGCCGGTGACCAGTTGTCATGAGGTCACTTCTGACTCATGGTGACTGCTAGTGTGTCAGAGTAGAACTTGGCTCCACAGGGTTGCCCAATGGCTGGTTTGGTGGGAGTGGCTCTCCAGGCCTTTCTCCTGAGGTGCCTCTGCTGGGACTCCAGCCACTCACCCGTCAGTTTGCAGGGAGCCCATTAACTGTGGACGGCCCCCCAGGCCTGCCTTTCACACCTGATTTAAGAGCATAAAACCATCAGGGACGACCTTGACCCTAAGGCAGAGAGACCAGCGCCAGAAGTAGGCATTGCCTGGCAGGGGCTCAGCAGAAGCTCGGGGCTCCCTCCCCACCCAGTGGAAGAGACAGTTGGCGGAGTTCCGCTGATGTGCAGGAAGTTGGCTGCTTCTTCTTGCTTCCTCTGGGGGCACTGGGGGCAGCTCACCCTGCAGCTGCGTTATTCCTCTCTACCTTCCCCTCCCTCTTAGAGAAACTGTACAGTGGAATTCTGAGGGGACGGTAACATGAGGGGCCTGTTGCCTGTTACCCCACTTAGCCAATCGCCAGCTGCCTCCGGGGTGGGGCAGCCTCAGCCACTGGGAGATAAGGCTTCCTGCCTCCTCCCCATAGCATGTTAGGCTCGACCCGACTGATCTCGTGGTCCTTCGCCTTGAGCCCTAAAGCCAGCCAAGGCCAGCAGTTGGCAGGTCACCAGCAGCGCCATGCTGCCCTGCCCCTACAAACCCTTGAGCTTGAGGTCCACTTGACCCTAAAGAGCCCCACCCGCCCTGTGCCACTCATCAAAAAAATCTGTTTTTCAGTAAACTCATTTTATGGAGATGTCATCTCCCCATAACAATGACCGGTCTTAAGTGTATAACTCAACATGCAGCAAATGTATCCATCTGTGTGCCCACCTGATGGCACCTTACCAAGAGACGGACCAGAGCCCCGCCCCCAACCAGACAGTGTCTGGCCAGTTCTTCCCATCAGAGGCAAGCATTATTCGGAGTCCTGGAGCCCGAATCAGTGTCTTAACTCTTCCCAACTTTTAAACTCCTTTTTGCTCAAGCAGCTCCTCTTCCCACCCACCTGCCCCGCCTGCCCGATCCCCCAGCAGAGGTGACCAGGAATGCCTTTAAACCCTTCTGTGCCTTGTTCCTGCCTCCTCGGTCCTGCACTCAGGATTAGTGAACTTTCTGTTGCCTCTCTGAGCTGCTGGAGGGAAGGAATCACTATCTTGGCCGCGGTTTGCCTGCATCCCCTGGCCCCTGGACGTGTTCAGTGGCTACTATACTTCATGAAAGGTGGCCGGGTGGGTGGCGAATGGTTCCACACAAATCCGGATGGAGCACTTCTGTGTGCCAGTCTCTGGTTTG